TTATGTGTGTTTTTTTTACGATAATTCAGTTTTTTTAAGTGTGTTATGACCATTTTTAATCTATGCTGTACGAAAAACTTTCTATGGATTGAACTATCACCCAAAAACCACATACTAACACAGATAATGTGCTTACCATCATGTTCCATAATAGATCGATTCACTCTAATTTTTAAACTAACGAAGCCAAACATGATCTGCTGACCGTAAACACGCTATGATACGCTCTTGTAAATTATAATACGGAGACAACAAATGACTGTGCTACGACCTCTTAAATATTATATAGTAATTGTTTATTTGGTATTGATAAATGATAATAATTTAAAAAATACTTGTTCTTGTACATTAAATACTTAATTTATCAACATTTTGTATTTCCTTTTAAAATAAAATTTTATACAATGCGTAAAATAAAGTATACATTTTTCAATTGTTGAAAAGCAAAAAAAAAAGATTATTTGATCAAGTGGTACATAAAAATTTTCAAACTGTGTAGGTGGTGTATGGATTTGTTAAGTTTGAGAACCGATGATATATTATGCTGTCAACCATGATGAAAATAATATACACATGGACTATGTCTATCAGATGTCCAGATACCATTTTTTGGTTAAAAAATTCCCATTGACCAGTTCGTAATTAGTAATATTATGAAAATAATCGGTAAATATAAAAATTAAGTTACCCTAATGTGGAGAAAAAATATTATACATTTAATATAATATATAAACCAATATTATTACTTCAGTAACACTAGAGAGGTATTCAAAACAACACTCGAAACAACATAAAAGAGTCGAATTATTGAAACTTATGTTACTTTAAAAATGAAGACCCGTTATCGTATTGTTAAAATTAAAAAGTGTAAAAAATTACAGAAATCGATCAAATTGCATTACAAGTTATGTATATGTATGATATTTTGTATAATTTTATATCAGCTATAATTTATAGCTGACAATACAATATTGTATTTAGTTGTAATCTTGAAATATTTATAAAACTTCCTCCAACTAGTTTAGTTGTAATATTTCATACCAACCGTTTAGTGTTTACTATTGAAAAAAAAGTTATTTTCTTATTGATTTCTACAATAGTAATAGTAATAAATAATAGTTCAATAATTTGCATATGATGGTTTTAAAAATCTCAATTCTAAAACAATTAAAAATCAAAATTTATTCAATTTTGATAATAATTAGACCGTGTGTGGAACGACAATAAAATTACACTACGGATATCATGAATATACTTTCAGAATACTTACGATCGACGGCTGGCCAGTTCGCAAGGGGGGGGGAATAGTTTGGGGATTCAAACTCTAACCAAAAAAATCGTGTTATACATTTTTAATCTATTACCTAGGTAGCTATACCTATATAATATTTTATAATCTTATTTGTAATGATATATAACTTTTGATATAGATACTTACAACATTTGTAATAAATATAAATATRTTATAATAAATTTTGCTAATTATTAATGTGTAAAATATRTACATTTTTTTTTTAAAAAMCCCTCATTATACTATCCTGCGCACGGGCTTAATCGACGGTAATATCTCTCAAATATTAGCATTGTCAAWATACACTATAATATATAATATATTAGATTATCATCCGAGCAATGAATGTATTGGTTTTACAAGTTTACAACGATGTATATTTTTTAAATAATATATTTTTTAGTCATTTGTACAAAATAAATTTTAAAAATGAAGAATTGTATACGATTCTATTAYAGAATTTCTATAGACTTGAAATCTTCTCTAAATATTGAAATTAGTTTTTAAGATAAAAAAATATTTTGATTCTTTTGAGCTATTTATATAGGTAGGTATTTTAAATTTTTGGCTCATTTAAGTTTTTTCCATTTATGTAGATATAATAACATACATATTTTTATTCRCGAGTAGAAAGCTTGAACAAATTATTACAAGATGCACAATGCACATAATATAGCATATAGCATTATAGTATATTTATTAAGCATTTATAAATAGGGAACGGAATTAATTCTAATGAAAAATATTAAAAATATGTAACACAATTTGGGGGTAATATACTAATATGTAATGGGATTTTTTTCGTAAACTATGATTTACATCATTGATTTTAAATTCAACACATCATTCATTATTACAATGAGTTATACACGGCACCTATAATGCGCATCAAAACAATAATATCCACTAGCAGTGGCGACCTGCACTAGCCAGGCACGTATCCAGAGTGGGGGTCCATGAGGTCTGGACCCCCCCCCCACCAAAAAAAAAAAAAATTTCCGTTCTTTCGTATAAAATTACGATCTTTAGAATTGAAATCAAACTAAAATATTTTGTTATTAAAAAATATTTTTTATTGTTTTGTGGTATAAAAATAAACCATAGAATGGTCGAATTTTGAATTATATCATTTATATCTAAATTTACTAATTTATATATTGTCTGGTTGCGCATCGCGCCGTGCGTCGGGTCGACCACGACGACAACCACTTATTATTATTAAATA